CTTTTTAACAGCTTAAAATTTATTTTGAAAGGGGGTTTGGTTTCCTGCCTTCTTTGTATGAAATCCTAATTTCATTCTGAAACAAAATGACAGTTCAGAGTGAGACAGAAGTTAAAATTACACGTTGACATTGCTTCCTGAGAGTTCATGTTAGCTTATCTCTAAGAATACACCTCCAGTCACTCCGAAATGTCACATTCATCACTTAGATCAGCTGTTCAACTTTCCCCGAGCACACGCTGAACTTTGGGCATCTGCTGACACAGTTGTAAGTGCAGCATTTCAGCTGTGTGACTGACAGGGAGAACAGATGCTGACATTATCAAATGCTACGCGGCTTTTTTTCCACCGCCGCTTTTTGTCCCGATATGGCCAGTGCATGGAACTGTATTGCCATCCAAAACACACTTGAGCAGCTGTATCTGTAAAACAGTTCCTCTCTAACTGGTAAAAATAGAAACTAATTTTATAGCCATCTTAATGCTGAGGTCCAAGTGACGCACCTGCTATGCTTCTATTAGGATACATGGTGTGGGGAATATATTCACATAAATCTTCTCCCCAGCATCAGACTGTGCAGCAAACAGATGTAGACTGTGCTTGACAGACTCCTCACTAGTGAGTGAGCTAACGTCGGCCCCAGCTTCCCACTGCAGCCCAAAGAATTCAGCACACAACATAAAAAAAGCTACATGAGCATGCAGAAATGTATTAAGGACCTTAATTTAGAAGAAATCATATGCAACTCCAGATAATTCATGAGAAGCTGTACTGTTCTGGCTTTTTTTTAACAAATGCTATCAGGGAAAAAAAAAAAAGAGGAAAAAAAATATCTATCTTGCTGTATTATATAATCATTCCTAAAAAGTTAATACTAACCAGAGATATAGTAATGGAATTGAAAGCACTTGACATTTACACTTGTGCTAACCGACTAGAGCGTTAAAGCAGCTGCAAAAGGGAACCTGCCAGAAAATGAAGGGAGGGACGGGACAAACCGAAACCTTATTCCCCAGCAGAGTTTAGCATCAAGAGTCAGGGGAGCTCCACATGGGCAGAGATTGTGAGACTGTGGTTTCTGGTTGCTGCTCTAGAATTTCATTACTGCAGACAGAAAAAAGATAAAACTGTAACTGTCATTTGATCTGAGACTCATCCACAGAGGCTCGAGGAAATACTGAAGGGAAGAACAAACCCAGACCCTGCACAGGTCTTTCAGGCATACAGCTTTCCATTTTTCTGTCTCCAAACTGGTGAAGGAGTTTAAATGTGCAGCAAGTAGAAACAAAGCGTGTAGCACAGGAGAAAGCCACATGTTCTTTGGGAACTGTTCATGTACTGAATGTGTGAGTGAATTATAACCCTCCTGCACTCCAATGCTTTGCTAAAGCTGGTAAAATGGAACCAAATCAACTGTTCAATGGATTTGGTCCCCTTCAACCAGCTGTAGCTATGCATTGATCACTACAGGATTTCTCACATTGTTAAAACTGGATGTTAAGTCTGCTCAGAGTATTATGCAGTCCTCTCTGCAGTGGAGTTCAGTTATTCTAGGCAGTTTGAAGATGGAAGGTAACAGAGTGTAGCAAGTTATATACTCCAAAATGTCAGAATTTTATTTGCAAACAGCTACTATTGTTTAATAACCTGTCTATTATTACAGTCAGTAAAAATTGATCTCTTACAACACTGATAAAATAGGTAAATATTGAAATAAACACATTTTCCAATGATTTCTTGTCTCTTCTGTTTTTCCTCAAGCCTGTTGCCCTTTGTAACAGAACTGTCCTCAGAAAAACCCAAGCAGCCAGCCCCTGATGAAAAGGAAGCAGTCGTGAACAGTGCTGGCAATGGAGGGAGAGTCTGCTCTCTGGGCACCTCTCTTTCCACATGTGTGTCCCCTCCCTTGGTTTTTATTGCACAAGGGAGGAAACTTCACAGCATAGGAACTGTATTTGCCATCTTGCACATGCTGGGCATGTTATTTACTATTTAAAGGTAATAAATTTGTCACTGACCTCAACAGCTACAGGCTTATCTGCCATCTAATTATAGGTCTGCTCGTGGAGGTTATATTCCTTCTCCAAATCAACCTGAACACAAGTCTTCTTTCAAAGCATTTTCTGACATAATACTTTAGGAAGAGGTTTTAGGAGCATGCTTCTTTTGCCCTCAGCTTCAACTAAGCTTTAACCTACACTGTTTGCAAATATGAAACCAAAAAAATCCCTTTTACTGGTTTAGAAAATAATTGTACAGCTCTGATTACCTCATAACTTGTCTCTGTGAGGACCTCCACAAAAATGCAACACAAAAGTCTCCAAAACTTTCATTAACACTAAGCACATGTGAGAAACCTCACCTGCCAAAATCACTAAAACCAGTTACAAATTCCACTGCCAGCCAGTTACAAACCATCTGCAAGTCTAAAAACAAGAAGAGATCTATTAAGTAAGACAGCCATGGAGGAGAAGTATAATTCCACTTTACACCACCATCTCCTGCTTGCCATTTCACAAACATGAAGATGACTTACTGCTTGCTATTGGACTGCCACCTACCCCAATATTTTAATTTTTTTAACTCCAGCAGAATTTATTGCTCTGAAGAACCAGTTGTATGCATGAGCAAAGTCAGGTCAGCTCTAAAAACAGCCTCTGTTTAAGATGTTAGCTGCAGTGTGAATAAAGCTCTCTCCACAGGATACAAAGCAAACCTAAAACTAACTGGGGCAGCAGATATAAGATACATCTACACTTCACAGTCATGTCTTCAGCCCAAAAATCTGAAGGCAGAGGTATGAGAATAGATCAAACATAACCAAGAGTTGATAACACTGACAAAAACCCCAATCTGTACAGTGTTTTCAATTTCACTCTTTCTTCTGTCTGAAAAAAGAATCTCATTAACACTGAAAAGGCAAAGTCTGCCAAGCTTTGAGGTTCACTGTATTCTGAAAGAAGACCAAAATAAATGCACTTTTAATATGACTCAGTTAAAAATTGCAAAACCAAGAAACCATGTATTAAAATCTCAACTTTGTTTCACATTTCTTTTTAGCTCTATCTCCCATGCACAAATTTAAAGCTACCTCCAACATAAGCTGAGTAACATCCAATCTACATTTCAACATGTCAGCATGAAAACCAAAAGTTCTATTTCTCCACCAATTCACAAAGTATGAACAGAAATACACCAATAAATGGAGAAATATTCCACTAATAATAGGGTGCTCTCCAAAACACTATACATTGGCTTCTGGAAAACACTGCCAAACTGTCACAGAAGATTTAAGTGCCAAGAAATCTGTGCTGTGTGACATAAATGACTATGTTACAATGTTTATCAAATATTTAACATAGAAGTATTTATTTTCAAATGAAAAATGAAACACTTCTGAATGTTCTACTCAGCACAGTTTGTGTGGATGCACTATTGAAGGTGGGTCTCACAAGAGCAGAGAATCACCTCTCCTCATCTGCTGGCCACACTCCTCTTGATGCACCCCAGTTGGCCTTCTGGGCTTCATGAGCACCCTGCCAGCTCATGCTGAGCTAATCAGCACCCCCAAGTCCTCCTCTTCAGGGCTACTCTCCACCAACTCTGCACCCAGTTTGTAACTGGGCCTGGGACTGGCCCAACCCAGGAGCACTTTGCCTTGTAGAATCTCCTGCAGTTTGCACTGGCCCACTTCTCCAGCCTGTCCAGGCCCCTCTGGATGGGCTCCCTCCCCTCAGGGGAGTCCCCCACCCCACACAGCTGAAGGGGCACTCCATGTGCTGACAAAGATGTCAGACAGCACTACAGAATCAACAATGAAATTAAAAATCATCACTGAAATCTTGGTGGTTCTTTTTTAACTCCTAAATGAATCAACTATAATGATTTTTTTGGCCAGAACAACAAAAAAGTGAAATCTATTTTGAAAAATTTTAAATTTTAATTTCTTCCCAAACTCATGTGTAAAATATCTAATGCTGCAAAGTACAATTTGGATCCCTCCACAAAAGTAAAAGCCTACAGCTCCTAAAACATTCACTCACAGAAAAACCTTCAGCATCCCTGTAAAGAGCATTTTTTCTATATCCTTCTCCTGCATCTCACAAGAGACTGAAGAAAGCACCACAGAACAAAAAAAAAGCCCAATAAAAAAATATCCCATCAAGATAACTGGAGACAGGAAACTACCCCTGGCTAATGCTTTTCTGTAAATATGGAAAAGCCACATTAAGTGAGTTACCAAGTCAGACTTGAAAGAATTTGTCTCCTGAATGTCAAAAATAAGCTCTATTCTCTAGGTCCTTGACATTTTCTCTTACAGAACTTTTATGAGAACTGTAGAAAACTGTAAACACATTTATTGTTCCTATCAACACTTCCAACCACCATGTGTGATGATTTTGAAAGCTATCCTAACAGAAGATGGAATGTAGATGCATAGTATGCAGCTAGCACAAAACAAATCTTAAACCTAACTTTTTTTCAGATAAGCTGCTATATAAAAGCAGAAATGAGAAAATCCTTCTGTACATACTTTTAAGAAAATAAAATCAAATATTCCTTTAGAGTGACAATTACAATTTAACACAACAATCCTAAGATTACTTTATAATTGCAAATAAACTTTATAATCCAAAATTTTAAGTCAAATCCCTTTCCCAATTCCAGTACCTGAGAAGAAGGGACAAACCTTTTTACAAATCCTGGCTTAAGATCTTAATATGTACTTATCAAAATATTTATTGGCAAAACTTTATAGCCACCACATGATATTGAAGACAGATCTGGAGTCACCTGAAGGCAGCATTGAACTGAACAGACCAGTAGCTTCCCTCTAATGATGGCTTCCCAAGCTTTACAAAGATGCATATCCAAGCAACATGACAATTTAAGAATATTTTGCATGCAAGTTTAAGGATCTTTTGAAAGAACACCATAACCTTTCCCTCCCATGCACTTGTTTTCCATTGACAAATGATAAAATTTAAAATATTTTTTACCTGGGGTTTCCTCTTAGTGCAGCATGATGAAGAGCATTGAACCCGTTGTTGTTGGTGATGGTAACATCTGCTCCAGCTTCTAACAGCACAGCAAGGATGTCATCACGCTTCTTACTGATGGCATCATGGAGTGGAGTGTCCCCTTCAGAGTCCTAACAGCAGAAACAGCTCACATCAATCCTTACAGGCAGCCAAATTAAAGAAAAAAGGTGCTAAAGAAGCATTAGGAAAACTGGCTATGCAAACATGAAGCAGCTCTTCAGACCTCAGTGTCTCTACACTGCAGAGCTCAGAGCAAGCTGCTTTCTGTCTGATCTTGGGGTTTTGCCAGCCCTCCAGGGAGTGACCCCAGCAAGGGCTCCAGGCTTCTGTGGTGACATCACCACCAGGAATTCGGGCATGCCCTGCACCTCCTAGTACTCAGGACCCTCCTGTAGTCATCAGCTTCTCTACACCTCATCTCCAGATGGAGCTGATGCCTATGCCACAATTTATGAGTAACAGGACAGCAACAAAAATTAACACAACAGAGGGGAGACTAGCAAGGCAGGGAGAAGACAGGGAATGCTGAGTGATGAAGGCCAAGACTGAGCCATCAATTAACCATGTAAAAGACAATGCCAAAAAGCCAGTATGAAATAAAAGCATAAGCAAATCAAAATAAAATGCAGTCCAAGTAATAAGCTTAGGCACTTCTGTTGTTTTAACTGAAGCAGACCCTTTTCCATGAAGCAAAGGCCAATGCCGTAAGCAATATTAAGCTTTTTAGACTTGCAGATTATATTACACAATGTACACTAAAATATTTCAGTGTATAATTGAGCAGGCAAAGAATCTGTATTTTTAGCTGGATGTTTTATTTTTCAAATATCCCAAATAAGGGAAAAATACTTATTCCTAGAAGGATTTTGTCTATTACTTATTCAAGGAGCTGAATGATTGGACTGAAAAGGAATGCCCTAGACTCACAGTGAGAAGACACATCCATTTAAGCTTATTTGCTGCTATGTAGGCAAGCTCTCTAGATTTATACTTCCAGTAAAATTCTAGCACCATATAAGTCAGGAAGTCTTTTGTCACTGATGCTGACTCCACTGCAAAACTAACACAGGAACTGAACATTTCAGCAAAACACTAATTCAAAACCAAATCTTGACAATCTTCACAGTGAGAATCAAAAATTGCCAAACCAAAAGCATCAGAACAAGAAACACTTGAACCAGTGTGAACCAGTTTGCCAAAACTAAATTATGTAGCTTTGATTTGGTTTAATTGATCATATTGCCTGAATTTATTGTTTACAGACTAACATATGCTTCTGTTTACAGAGTGAATTGGCTGAAGTAGCAGAGTGCTGACCAGCTAAATACCAGTCTGATTCCCCTGCCTGCTTGGCATGTGCCCACTGGAGTTTCTCAGCACACATGCAGGACCTGAAATTTCATTATTTTCAATGGCAATTTTATTTTTTCAGATGGATTTTTATAGCAGCAGCCAATCCAGACAGATTTCTATAATTTCAAGTCAGACACATCTCTTCTGACTACCCATATATCATACATGTATATTTGTATCACACATGAATATCATACATATGCTATACAGGCACTTTTAATAAGGAGTCTGATGTATTGAGCCCAATGAAATCTACTGTTCAATAAACACTAAATATTGTCTGGATAGATGCTAGCAAGGTTAAGATAGTACCTATAGTCAGGTGGAAACAGATAAAAAAAGGTGAAATTAAAAAGGTAAAATAACTGAATATAGTGACTCTTTTATGTGAATATACAGCTTAAAAAAAAAATCACTGGTTATTGATATGCAAAACAAGTATTGAGCCCAATGAAATCTACTGTTCAATAAACACTAAATATTGTCTGGATAGATGCTAGCAAGGTTAAGATAGTACCTATAGTCAGGTGGAAACAGATAAGAGTCACTACGTTCAGTAATTTTACCTTTTTAATTTCACTTTTTTTATGTGGATATACAGCTTAAAAAAATCATTGGTTATTGATATGGCAAAACAAGGAGGTAAATGTTTTATTACTGTGTAGCCTGATTTGCCCAGGATGTTACAGCTTTGTCTTTCTGTTGCAGCCTCCTCAAACTCACCAGTTCTGACTTTAATGCACTGGGTGCAGCTGCATCCAGCTCCTGCAGAACGTGGATACTTGCTTGTTTGACAGCAGGTTTCTGCTACACCTTCTCAGCAGGAGATTGCAATCACACCTCACAGCTTCTGCCACATTCATTACAGATAAAACTCCCTCTGAAATTATGGTAACCTGAGGCCCTAATGCATGAGGGCTTTTTAGATAAAATGGTGAACACTTTAAAAGAGAATGTGGCTAAATAGTTCTATCAGTGACACTTCTGAAAAAAGGCTTCTGAGGCTCTGGGCAGCCTGATCTAGTTGGAGGCTCATGGCAGAGGGGTTGGAACTGGGTGATTCTTGTGGTCCCTTCCAACCCTGACAGAATCTGATCTGTTTTAGCAGAGGACTTTAGAGCCCTAATGGCTCAATGGTTGGACTTTATGATCTTGAAGGTCCCTTCCAACCTAAAGGATTCTATGAACATTCAGAGCATCAGCAGCCCCAAAGTGCAAAGCTGCGCCTTGCAGGGGGAGCAAACAGCTGTGGATTCAACAGAGGAGGAGCTAGTCTGGAAAGCAAGCTAACAATTCCAGGTAACTACAGTCTGTGGGAATACTAGTTAGCATCAACTGGCTAGAATAGTGTCAAGAAAACAAGCACATTTCATAGCATTTTATAACAGCTGATCACAAGACGGGGCAGAGGCCGGGACAGGTATTCACAAGGTCCAGCCCTCTCACTCCTGTTTTCCATCCCCATTCTAACCCCCCCCCCAGCCAAGCACATTTTTTTTTTCAATAAAACAAGCACATTTCATAGCATTTTATAACAGCTGAGCACAAGAGGGGGCGGAGCCCGGGACATGTATTCACAAGGTCCATCCCTCTCACTCCTGTTTTCCATCCCCGTTCTCACCACCCCCCCAGCCAAGCACACAACTCAGCAGCTAAGTGGCTTTCCTCTGTTCCCTTTACCTGCAGGCTGGGGTGGCAGCCGAAGTCCAGCAGGGTCTTGACGACCTGCAGGTGGCCCTTGTTGACGGCGATGTGCAGGGGCGTCTGGCGCCGCTTGTTGCGGGCGTTGAGGTCGGCGCTGCCGCGGTGCAGCACCTCGATCACCGCCCCCTCGTCCCCGAAGGCCGCGTGGTGCACCGCCCGGTCCCCGTCCTTGTCCTGGGGGCACAGGCCTCACCTTAACCCTCCCTTCGCTCCCTAACAGTGCTATATAAATACAGTTTACAGTTTAATCTGTTGAGTTATGCACGTTATTTACATTTATACGCTTTACATCAAGCTGTGACATTGCGCGTATTTGATTCCTTCAAAGGCAAAGAAAACTTGGATCACCATGACACACACACTCAAACACCCAACAACTCCTCAAACCACAGCAATAAAGGATGAAGAGTCTGAATATAAACATATATATATTCTGTGACATATGGCATCCTACACCGTATTCAGCAGCTGCTCTGGACCTGTGTGATGTGTTCAAACTCAGATTCACTTGGGTTTCTACTACAAAGCAACCACTGGAAAAACGACCCCCACCAATCAACAGAAACAAAACCCAACCCACAAAACCAAAAAATACCTCACATTCAGCAGTCCAGGGTTAAACTCCAAATCCCGGTATAAGACAAGAGAACTGCCTTGTTCATATAATTAAGCTGGTATTTATTAGACTTTGTTATATGTGTCTTAGTTTTCAGTTAATAAACGTTTTCCAAAGTTAATTTGGGGCTGATGTGGAAATTAATTAGAAGTTCTGATTCTACAGTGACAATGATTCACAGCATTAAAGCTTTGATTAAATTCAGTTTTGTTTCAGTGTGGATGAAACTGAGAATTAAGGTATGAAAGTAATAAATTTTGGTTTGGTTATTTGGGTTTGGGTTATTTTAACACATGTAAGAGTGGACTGTACTCATGAAGTATTTTTAAATATTAATCAAGTGATTTTGGCATTAATGACAACATACAGAAGCTAAAACTGAAAAGGTATATAACAGGTTTCAATGAAATAATAACTTCTATAAGCTAGTTTCTAACTAAACCTCTAACTAATTTTAATAATACATATTACTATGTATTTATAAACCTAAATTTTGACAATGGAGAAATACTAACAATTGTAAAGAGGGGAAAATGACTGACCAAGCATGCACTGGGTGCCTCCCTTGGGTAAGCTTAGTTCCTCTTAATTTGCTTCTCCTCCAGCAATGCCTTTTGAAAGTTTTTTCCTTTGTAATGTATTTTACATGAATGCAAAAATAGTTTTGAATCTGCACAATTACAAGATGAGAATGACTAAATTTTTGCCCTTCCAACCTAAAGATGACTCTGCTGAATGAAATGACTCTGCTGGGCCTTCACATTACTGATTTATAGACAGCTGACATGTTTTAAAGCCTGAAACAATCATATATATGATTAATATTATAATAATTAATGCAATTAAGTAGTAATATCATCTTCACTTAAGCAACTCACAAGTTACATTAAAAAATGTTAATGATAATGTTAGGATACTTCTGAAGCCTGAGCAAACATGAACTCAATAATTCTACTGCTAGCAGATTAGCAGGTGTATTAACTTGAAGCTGTTTAATCAATGCTTTCACTTCCCTCTCTAATGCTCTAACCTTTCTTTATACCAGAAAAGAAAGTACCAGTCCCCCACATGATTAACACAGCAGCTCTGGTCCCACAGGACAGATGAAAAGCAGCTTAGTCTAGTTTGTAATGATATATGCTATGAAGTAAACAAAGCAAAATCAATTCAAAATACAAGTATCACAGTATGCTGACAGATAATTTTCTCACCAACAGTAACTCTAAAAAAACCTAAACAAAATTAATACTTCCCTGTGGGGTGAAGTTAAAAGAAAAAAAACCCACAAACTGAAAACCTGGAAGCAGAGTTGGCCACTCCTAACCCAAGATACTGTCATGACTTTCTACCCAAACTTGCTTTAGTTAAGAATGGGAAAAAAAAAACTTTCTCCTCACTGAACACTAGAGAAAAAAGCATGGTAAGTATCTGAAGTTGGAGATGCAGCATCCAACAACATCTTTTCCTCTGCATGCCACAGGAAGTGTGCAACTGCATTGGATTCTGTTGTTGAAATGAAATCAGGAAGGGGCTTCATCCACTGCAATCACATACTAGCCTACATAGCTAGTTGTATTAGCATTGCATTTCACTTCATTAGAGGTGCTAAAGAATTAGATATTGACCTTTTGTACTGTTGTCAGGAGGCAGCCAATTTGGGAACAATCACAACAAGCAAAGCAGTTTTTCACCCACTCTGACATTTAAAAAGAAGTCAACTTGAATAGAATTGTTATTTCTGTACATAGCCAAGTTTAAAACATATGGAGAGACAAAGTGTATCTTGAAATATTTAGGTTACCTCTGCTTCTACATCCACATTCTGTTTCAGCAGCAACTTCAAGATGTCAACGTGGCCATTCTGACTAGCAGCTTGCATAGCTGTGTGTCCAGCACACTGTCCATTCACCTGGAAGCACATCCAGACTTGGAGACAAGTTGCATGAGACACACACATCCCTGTGAGACACTTCTGCAGGATCCACCCACTTGTATTGGAAAACTCAAAACAGCACATGTATGAAATATCAAATGAAAAACTGTCAGACAGCTTCCTTCCTAGCAGATCATCTTAAAGATCATCTCTTTGTTTTTCTCAATTTCATTTCTATAGCATTAGCTAGATTGAAGGAAAGGATCAATTAAATAAGTCAACTCCTCAGAACCTTAATAACAGTTGGATTAAAAACTTTCATCTTCAGGCTACTCTAAAGGCCAGATTTTGAGAACAGGTCTCACAATGACACCACTTCTCTGCTCTACAATATATTTAACTTCATTTTCTAATTTATGGCAGCAACAGGAGTCAGTCTGAACAAAATACCATGTTTTGTGTAATCTTGAGCTACAAATCAATCCTCAGAGCTGAAGGAGTTCAGTCTCTTATCTGCAAGAATTATTACTGCTGTAGTGAGAAAAACATCTGACTGTAATTTTAAAACATGTTCCCTGAAACTTCTCTGAGCCAATTAAGTATTTTCTTTTAGAGTTTTCAGTACTAGGTGATTAGGAAAGTTGGTCTTGGGATGTGACAGGGAACAGATTAGAACATCCACCTCATGAGATAAAAAAACAAACCCCATGACAACAGCAGGAAAAGAATCCCCCAAAATCTACCCTCCTTCTTCCTATCCCCTCGTCCCCCCAGCCAAAAGCAGCTGAAGACCCTTCACTAACTGTGAGTGTTTGGTTCTCTCCACTGACTCTGGCAGACTGGAAAGAATTTTAATTCAGGGCAGACAACAGAAGATAAAATCTGACCAAAAAACAAAGGGTGTAAAGCATTACTTTCACACACCCTCAACACAGTTCAAAGGAAAATAAATGAGAGAAGAGGCACTGGAACCAGTTGTGCTGCTTCCATTCACTCCACTGACTGGTAAGGAGTATCCAGCACCACTTCACTTCTGTTAGCATTACAGGTCCTCCCAGAACACAACACTCACATCTACATCTGGCCTCTTCAGCAAGTCTTCCACTTTAGCAACATCTCCATTGGCAGCAGCTTTAACTAACTCTTCATTGAGATCTCCAGATTCTTGGGTTTCAAATAATTTCTTCAACAGCTGGGATAGCCTCTCTATTATTATGAAACAGACAGTTAGGATTACAATCCTACTCAGACAAGAACAGCAAAATTAACAGCTAAATTTGGCATGTTTCTAGAGTCATATCCATAGTAAAACACAAACCACCAAAATATGGCAGCTCTAAATTAATATTCACTTCTGAGAAAGGGCTGCACTCCAGTGCCCTTCAGACAATAGAGATTGTCACATCAGATGCTTCAGAACAAAGTTGATTGACCACAAATAATTTGTCTACCACAAAATATAGAATACTGGAGACAAGGTAAAAATTTATATATTGGAAACGGTTTTTTTTAATCTTCTAGCATAATTTAGGGTATGTTCTGCTCTCTGATTTGAAACAGAAAGTCACATTACTCTTCTAGTGAGTTTTCTGGCCACTGCAACTTTGTCTTTGTTGCAGAAAACTCACCATATCTATGCCTCCCTAGGAAAAAAGTCTAGAAAACTGTAGAAAGGTTTCTTGGCATTAAAGAAAATATGTGAAGAGGAAAAAAAACTAGCTAGGACCCAAAAGAAAAACATTCCCATTTAATTGATCTGTGAAACAGCCAGCAGAACGTAAAGCACACTGGATACCTTTCTACCTCATGATGATGAATGAGCAGTTCCAGCAGAACTGAAATGTGATTACACAGACACACACAAAATAAAAAAAATCCAATTTTAATTAGTCAAAGGATGTCTGACTAAATGATAAGCCAGAGGTTTTAAGAAAACCTTATCTTGAGTAACTGTTTGCAAAAGGTCCTTCCCTTATGCCTGCTGTCCCACACCACCTATTAAAGAAGCACTTTTGCTCACTACAGGCAGTGACACTCTTCATGCCCCAGTCCCTAATCCAATCTGATGTCCCTTTCAGTCATTTAAAGTCCTTAGATCAGACCTCCAAAGACACCTGCATTGAGGCCAAGCACCTTACCAAGATCTCCAGCCAACATCTCCAGACTGACTGCAAGCTTTTTCATGTGACTTTCTCCAAGGTGTAAAATCAATTAGCCAAACCCCAAGTGTGTCTTCTGAATACTATTAACCTTGTGTACAAACTAAGTGCTAGTACTTACTAATGGCTTTTTAATTAACACAAATACCTGCCATACTTACAGTACTGGTTAATCCTCACACTCACCTCCAGATGCATTACTTATAGCAGATCCTGCTGATGCCACCTTTGAGACAGCTGCTGGATTATATGTCCAGGATGTCCCACAGACCTCCACCTTTAAGTCGCTGTCTGAATAGATCTGCTGGACCCGACCAACTTTACCTAAAGTCTGAATTAAAGGAAACATCAACTGAAAATAGTACTAAAAATCAAATGTTTTAAAATCTGAATGTTTTATAACGTGTCACAAATTTTATTAAAGCTGTTTAATAGTACAGTCACTAATACCTTTAGCTAAGTTTCACCAGGCTAAGGAGATTACATCTGAGCAAGCATTCCACTGCATTTGATGAAATACATTTCCTCTAACTGAGAAGAAGAACACTGACTCCTACAACCTCCAGATACTACTAATCATAGCTAGAAATATTACACATGTTTTACCATCCTATGAATCCAAATGTATAACCACTTACAGGAAGCATGGCCTCAGCCCACTCTCCATGACCTCTCTGCAGCAGCTTGATTCTCTCCAAGTCATAGCACACTTGGACAAGGTCACCCACTTGGAACTGAGAGGTCCCTCCCTCTGCACCTTGGGCAGCGTCTCCGCTTCGCACAACGTTGGCCTTGGTGAGCACAGCTGGGTTGAACGTCCACCTAGGCAAGGAATCATTCACAGGTTTTAAACTATCTGCTGGAGAAGGTTCTGCCTGCATGCCTACCAACTTTCTGCACTTGGAGACTATGGCATATTTGTTAACTGGTTTTTGTCCATAAACTGCTCTGTGGGTCATTAGCTGATTATTTCAAGGGTAATCTTTAAAAATACACATTTGTAGGAGCAATGAAATATTCAGCCTAAGGGGAAGCAAGACAACAGCAATATAATAGTCCTGAAAGTAGCTATATAGTTAATTTTTCCAGGTAGAGAAGGACATGACACGGGTAGAGAAGGGGAAGATGTCACAAAAGGACTGAACTGTCAGGAAGCAACATGGGAAGAACATGGAATTGGAACATTGGAAATAAGATGGAGTAAGTCCAGAACAACATTCCTTATTTTGGACTCACATCTTCACCAAGAGAGAGACAACAAACTCCTTTTTCCACTAAAGCGTCCTTAAAGATAAGTCATTATTCCACACTGTCAAAGGAATATAAAAATTCTCAAGGAAATAATGGACACAAAGAGAGAACAGAAAGTTTCTGGCACCAAGTAATCACAAAGGCAGCTTGTGAGAATCAGTGATGAAGGCTAGGTAACAAACCTGTTGCCACTTGGGTACTGCACTACAATGTCATGATCCTCATCAATGCCACACACTGTCCCCGTGGTGGTTAAAGTTTCAAACATGCCATCAGTCCATCCTCCATGTCCATGCTGCAAAGACTGGACAATCTCCAAGTCAAGGTCAATGTTCACAAGGTCACCTATCTGCAGCCCACCAGGGTTCCTGTTACCGTTCTGCTCACCTGAAATGGAACAAGAAAATGTTCACACAACCATGCTAATTTTCCATGCAATTCAAAGAGCAGAAGTTAACTTCTGAAACTTGATGTTTCTCCAAGTGTAGCAGCCAATATGTAAAAGGGAGTAACAGGTGAAAAAAAATCTAACTCTGAACCTTTGGCTATGGAATTGTGTGTTTCTGCCAAATCCTTGTGACAGGTCACACTATGGGCTCTAACTGCAATGCTAACAGCTCTTAGCACTCACCACTAGGTGCTCAGACACCTAGACATACAAAAGCTCTGGTAATTTTGGAAGAGTCATACACCAAGTGCCATCTACTCACTCAGAGCCTGAATGATAAGCAGAAGGCCTACAGAAAGGAGCTTTGATTGGGTCAGTCCTTGGACGTGGAGAAATCACTAGCAAAGGAATACCTCCAAAATGACCAACAATTAAAATCTTTAACCTTGTAGGTGAAGAGATGACAACAAACAGGAAAAAAAACCCTGTCAACTTAAAATGAAAACATTCTCCCTGGACAACACCCACTTTTTAAAAGCTGTGTCCTAGCAAGAATGGATCAGCTGGAGGGTGATGGCACACATTGACACAGCAAGCTGGGCCAGCTGATGAGAGAGCACACTGGTGGACCTCCTCACTGCCAGAACCAGAGGATGGCATGTGGTGCCCTCCATGGAGCAGTGAAGAATACATTTGCAGATGTCTTGTAGAGGACTTCACTGGCTACATCAGTGGCAAAGGACAGAGTGAGCAGAATTCCTTTACTAATATTGCA